AGCTTTTTAAACCGATGTTGGGTGGCCAGCTCCTAGACATGTTTTAATATGGATTCCTGCACTGGCAAGGGACTGGACTCCTAGATGGCTCTTGGGTTCCCTTACAACTCTATGAGTCTGTCATTCCATTTGTTTTCTTCCTGGATCTATGCCATAGCACACCACACATTAATGACAGTCTCTTGTGTCACGCTTTCATTGGAAATTTGGGTGAGTTTTGGGGCTTCATAGTATTGACTGAGGGGGGAAGCAGATGGCGCAAAGTGCCATTTTTGGGGCAAGGAAGGGGAGGGGCAGCCGCACAGTGGGCACCCCAACCCCTTCCCCAAAACGTCCTCGGAGCAGCTGTCCTTCTGTATGGCCAGCGCTCCGAGGATGACCTCCCGCTGCAGCGTCCGTACACTATTTTAGCGCTCCTTCCAGAGGTGGCGAAGCTGTGATGTGGGGCCGAGGTGTGCGGATACCTTGGCCCTGTGGCGCAGCTTCCTGGGGCGGCCCCTTGCCGCCCGTCTGCTTCTCCCCAAAGTGACCTTCACCGTTTGTGGTGGATCTATCAGACAATAATTCCCCCACTTACCTCCTGACACCCATACAGACCTAAAACAGCATGACTGACAGGATGGAAGGCTATCTATAAAAATGAGGCTTTAATCCTCTATTTGAGGGCCTTTGCAGACTGCTAGAAATAGTACAAATTGAGTCCACTTTAAGGGTTAGGGTTAGGGTTAGGGAATCATGAGAACTGTATTATATTGTGGCACCAGAGCTCTCTGACAGAGAAGGCTCAATGTCTCAGAAAAAAAAATTCCCATGATTCCCTAGCACTAACCGTAACCCTTAAAGTGGACTCAATTTGCACTATTTCTGGCAGTCTTTCATTGTTATTACTGGATCTCCCTCCCCCAATAATTACTGAAACAAAGCAATGCTACAGCAGATAGACCTCTGACCCATAAACTTGGAACATGAACCAGGTACCTAAATGCTGAAAGGCTCAAAAATGGCCAGGTCTGGTCGAAATACCAGGAATCTGGCTGTCTGCAGTTAATGTATCAGAATTTTTCTGTTTCCTGGATTTGTTTCTGGAGCCCACAGAGGGCATAATGCCCAGGAAGAACAAATACCAAGCACAGATGGACTGCAGGGCTCAGCAGGCTGCTAGGGAACAGAAGAAAGATGAGAAACATGTGGCTCTCCAGATCAGGGGTAGGCAACCTTTCCCCTTTAAGGGCCGAGGGACTTCAGCTCCCAGAATCCCAGGAGCTATTGGCCAACATGGGACTATTGGCCAACATGGCTGAGGCTTCTGGGAGCTGAAGTCCCTCGGCCCTTAAAGGGGAAAGGTTGCCTACCCCTGTAAAAAAATCTAGTGTCAGTGGTGAAAGCAGAAACAGACTGCTTCCTCTCCAGGGCATCCTCATGTTTAAGGCCAAATGTTTAGATATCTATCAGAAAGAGGGGTATACAATGGATTACACAACCATTTTATCAGGGATACCAATGTGAGCTTAACTGATACATAGCATCAATCAGGGGTAGGCAACCTTTCCCCTTTAAGGGCCGAGGGACTTCAGCTCCCAGAAGCCTCAGCCATGTTGGCCAATAGTCCCATGTTGGCCAATAGCTCATGGGATTCTGGGAGCTGAAGTCCCTCGGCCCTTAAAGGGGAAAGGTTGCCTACCCCTGACCTAAGGAGACTCAACTCATGTCAGTAAATAATAAATGAAAGATTCTTAAGGTGCCTAAAAGTTTCATGGTCATCTGTGGCTTGTTAAAGGCTTTGCTCTTTCTCCTATGCAGGAAAATCTTGCCAAAAAAGATTCTTAATCATGTAGTGACGGAGGTAGGAATCATTACTGGCAAAGAGATTTTTTTAAACCCTGCAGACTTATACAAAGGAAAAAGTAATATTTAGTATGTTCAATGACTCAGATGAATAATCACCTGTTCTTTATTTTGTTCTGGGGCAGGGAGTTGTTTTAAATACTGAAAATGCCTCCATCCTTTATGTATGTTTGTATGGACCTTATCACACGGGGTCTAAAGCAGTCCCATCCCCTTCACATCCCCGTCCCATTGCACTTCCTTTTCCCCGTGTGTTCACATGACGTCGCACCCATTCCCGTCCCATCCCCGTCCCATCCCTGTCCCATTGCGGCATCATCCGGCATCATCCCCGTTCTTTTGAATGCCAGATTCTTTGGGAATTACATTTTGCCGTGACCAGAATGATACCAGAATGATGCTGCTTCCTGTATACCGGTATAGTTCTGGATTGAAAAGGAACCGCAATGGGACGGGGATGCCACAGGGTTCTTTCTGCTTTAGGCCCTGTGTGATAAGGTCCTATGTGTGTGTATATACAGGGAGAGGTGGGGAGGGAGAGAGTTATGAATCAATAAACACAGATATGATGCAATAAACACTTAAGACGTTATCACACGGGGGAAATCTGCTGGTTAATCCACACAAATCCCAAACAGAAACTGGATTTGTGCCTCACGATTTCACACGACGTTGCACAGAAACTGGACAGAAACTGGTGTTATCCGAGATCTTTTGAAATTCGGTAGTTTTGAGGAAATGCATTTGCGAAATTACAGTAATTTCGCATTTACCGTAATGTGAAAAGCAAAGGCGCATTTGGGAGCATTTCCCTGCTTTTCCCATGGCTCCACGGCGAGCATTCCTCTATCTGTGCATGTGCAAGAAGCTCATTTCTAGTACATTTATGGGCTTTTCTCGCTTGTGTGTGAACGTTAAATGCGCTTACTGTAATTTCGCAATTAAGGTAATTACGTGTGAAAGCCATTTGCAGAATCAAGGTTTATTTTCAGTTTATTTTCGGAATGCCTCATTTCCACTTTATTATCGCTTTCTGGCCCACGTGTGATAACGTCCATAATAAATAAAGGGTGAAAAAAAAGATTAACTATTATGTTTCTGTTGCTTCTGAATCAAATTTTCTTGGCCATTCAAACATCCAAGGCATTTTCATTAATCAGTTTATTAGCTGTGCCCATATATATGAGCAATATGTATTCTGATGGTATTCTACAGCCTTTAATTTAAATAACTGATTGACAATATTACAGTATAATGAGCTTTTAGAACAGGCCACCATTTGAATAGGGAGACAGATTTTTCATAGAAAGCTGCTCCTCAGGCCCGGGAAGAGGGGATGGTCAATGACAGACAAAGGGAAAAAATGTTTTGTATTAGCATCCTTGCTGAAAAGGATGGAGCAAGTACAAAACACAATAGAATATCTGTTCTCCTGCCAACCAGTCTCTTCTGTTCAGTGGCTCTTTTTGCAGCTGCAGTTCCAGATGTGATACCCATGTGAGCCGAGACAGATGAAGGAAAAGGATGTGAATAATGAGGAAATGGTGAGTAATTATGATGTTTGTACCTTAGTTGAGGAGCCACATGCCTATATCATCACACACTGCTGCAGATCTGCTTGGATGTTTTCAAAGGGACAAGAGAGACAGAGGGAGTGCCTTGTAAATGTGTGCTACAAAGAAAAACCTCATGAGGCTCTCCAGGGACTTGGCTCCTTGGGTGACTGAGCTTCGGGTATGCCTGTGATAATGATAAGCACATGAGTTAGATCAGCATCATTATGACAGCCATCAACTTCACACATTCATGGTTGCATTTAGAAAACTTTGTTTTCAGATGACAGAAAAATTATCTTAGAAGAAGTGGATTTATATCTACAAAGGCTCATGGATAGTCTTAAATGTCAGTCTTAAAGATGCTGCTACATTTCCTTCTCCCCTCCACCTTCCCCTTTTTATATTGACATACCTCACTGTGTAGTCCAAGTTTCAACTAGGGGTGATGGGAGCTGGAGTCCAACAATGACTGGAGGGTTGCACTTTGTCCGCCCCAATCTAAGAGTAATTTATTGCTGTCTGCCTGACATTTTGCAAACAAGAAATCAGTACCATGTGAATCCTTCCCAGGCTGCAAACCAGAACCCATTTTTCTACAGCTCAGTTCCTGGGCTTTAAATAGACTCTTATCTTTGTTACTGATCACATGCTCACACTCAGGAGCTTTATGCAGAATCTTAGACCATAGTGAGCAGCCTTCACTATTTGTGTGTGTCTGGAAACCAAGTCCTCTCATGCTGTTGATTTCCATTGGGTCAGCAATATCCTGTTTCAGGCAGAGTTCATATTTCAGAGGCAATTCAGAGAAGCAGTGATAATTCAGGAAAGAAGGCAAGATTATAGACAATTCCAGGCACAGATGAGACACATTCTGCCTGGATGGAGCCACTCTAGGGATGCATCTTCTTCTTGTTGTTGTTGCTGTGTGCCTTCAAGTCTTTTCTGACTTATGACAACCCTAAGGTGACACTATTGTGTGGTTTTCTTGGTAAGATTTATTCAGGGGAGGTTTGCCATTTGCTTTCCTCTGAGGCTGAGAGCATGTGACTTGCCCATGAACACTCAGTGGAATTATCCACTTTGTAGAAAATAATGCAGTTGGATCCCAGTTTAATTGCTATGGACTTTATCACACAGGGAAAATTGGGGAAAATCAGGGGTTTAAATGGTCATTATCCTGGGAAAGTTGCACAATCACAATGAAGATTTTCACATTACGTTGTGATTAAAGAGGGAATAACCAGGGAATAATCCTGAGAATAACCAGGGAATAACCAGCAACAAATAATTCATGGGGAAATCCAGTGAATGATTTGTTGCTGGTTATTCCCAGGTTATTTCCGGGATAAGTCCTCTTTAATTGCTATGTGTGTGAAAATCTTCCCGTGATAGTGCAACTTTCCCACGATAATGACTGTTTAAACCCCCAATTTCCCCCAGATTTCCTCCGTGTGATAAACTCCTTAGATTCTATCCTACAGAATCATGGGATTTGAAGTTTTGTGAGGCACCATCAGTCTTTGGCAGAGAAGGCTAAAGAACTTGTAAAAACTACAAATCCAGAATTCGATAAGGTGGAGCTACATCAGTTAAAGTGCAGCCAGCATGGTGTAGTGGTTTGAGCATTGCATTATGACTCTGGAGATCAGAGTTCGATTCCCTGTTCGGGCATAAAAACCTACTGGGTGACCTTGGGCAAGTCACACTCTCTGAGCCTCAGAGGATGACAAAAGCAAAACCCATCTGGAGAAACCTAATAAGAAACCTCTATGATAGGTTCACTTTAGCATCGTAATAAGTCAGAAAATATCTTAGAGGCACCAAACAACAACAACACCCTAGACCAGCAGATGAGGATGTTACTCCAGCAAATTTCTAAACTCATATGTGGACTTACTGAAGTTCCTAGACTCACCCTTCCTAGGAGAGCTAACGGTGCTTAAATTGGTGGCTGATTCTTCAGAAGCTGGCATGAGGGAAGTTGGGGCGTCTCCTACCTGGCCAAGCATTTAGAGGTGGAATCTCCAATCAGAGGTAAAATGACCTCTTCAGGTTGTATAGGTGATGGCAATGTTGTTCTCTGGGATTTTGCTCTCATGGATGTCTCCAGCTGAGCACTGACCTCTAGAATCCATTCTGAATACGAATATGAACTCCCTATGTCCTGATCATAGGGGGTCCACAGGTAATAATCCTTTGATATTTCTTTATTTTTTAAAAAGTAGCTATTACGGTTGTCCCACCCAATTTGCAGGGGATCCGTTTCAGAACCACCACCCCCCGCAAAAATGAGAACTCACAAATATTGGAGCCCTATTGAAAATAATGGTGCCCGCATCCGTGATGTGTGGGTGGGGCTGCACGCACTTGTGTGCTGCCATTTTGTCTCTCCTCACTTGCCATCTCACGAAGAGTGAGACTTCGGACTCCAAGTCCGCAAATGGGGGACGACAACTGTAATTGCTTTGAGGTACAGCACATAAAAGCCTAAATACCCTAAAGTCACCAGGTCCCATCTGATCTTGGAAACTAAGCAGGGTCAGCCCTGGTTAGTATTTGGATTGGTTACCACCAACAAACACTAAGCTCTATAGGCTATATTTAAGAGGAAGGAACTAGCAAAACCACCTCTGAGGATTCCTTATCTAAGAAATTCAGAGTCACGTAAGTCAACACGTGACTTCAAGGTGCACACATATGCAGAGTGTATAAAATATATTCTTTAAAAGAAGATTTAAAACAATTTCAAGAGCCATTTTGTTAAAACTGAAGACCACCTGGTATAGTACGATCATGGCTGCCTGCTAGAAGCCCAGAAAGGAATGGTTTCACTTGATAGGGAATTCTACAACTGAGATGCTTCTATTGACTCTTATGTACTCACTGAGCAAGCCACCTCTGAGGATCTCAAATTATGGGCAGATTCATATGGGAGGTGAGGTCTTTCCAATATCCTTGCCCTAAACCATTGTCCTGAGAGGAAGCATATTGGTTGTAGAATTAAGCTTTTTGACAGTAATTGGGTGAGATGCCCTAATATCACAAAAAAACTGGGTCAAGAGGAATAATCTCTGGCTGGCCATGCAGGGCAGGGCAGGTAAGAAGGACAAAGGAAGGGAGGAGGTAGAAGTAGAGGCTTAGGAAAAGAAGAGCTAAGGAATGTGTCATAACTGCTGGAAAGGAAAACAGCCTGAAGAAATGTGAGGAAGAGTCTAAGGGCAGAAGAAGCAGTGCGAGAAAAGAAGAAAAAGAAAACAAGCAGAGATGAAATTTGCAGATGGGCCAGGGAATAGTCTGCCAAAGCTTTAGCTGGAAGCTTGTAACTTCACAATATTGACAAAAGTTTTCAGTCCCCATGCTTTGGCTCCTTGTCCCCTGGATACAATATGTGGTGTGCCTACGCTTCCTTGGCGGCAGCTGATAATGTTTCAAACATACAACAGCCAGCATTGGCTGTCTGAGTGGGAACCTAAAGCCACTTCCCGATTGCTCCCTCCACCCTTATTTTTGTGTGGGCTAGACAGTTCTTTAGTGGTAGGACTCACTAAATCCTCCTTTAATTCCTGGCTCAGACCACCTGCTTTTAAAAACCACCACCACTATCATCATTACAAAGTGCTTCCTTCAGATCTTTTCTGTCTCTGGAATTCCCATTTCTCTGAGCAACAATCGTCTCAGCAGGTGAAATCCCTCTGCGGGTGAACACATAGAAAAATCTGTAGCTTCTTTTCTTCCTCTGATCCTTCTCTCATTTCCTCGAGAAAAACAGTCTTTCTTGGCAAGATCAGGGGCTACATGGGTGGCCAAGCGCATACTGCTTGGTTGGAGTGATGATGCCTAATTGTTCAGTTTGTATCTTAGCTGCCACTAGTTTTTCTTTCTCTTTTTGCTGGAGAAGAGAGCATCTAAATGATGTCCCTTAGGATACAGTCTCTCTTTATCAAAGCCATTCAAATACTTAGTGCAATAAAGATAATGTGGACACCAGCAGTAGAGAGCTTACAGATCAGGACTGGTAAATGGATGGCTCTTCAAGTGCTGATGACCTGCAATTCCCATCAGCCTGAGCCAGTGGTGAGAGATTATGGGAACTGTGATCCAACAATATCAGAATAGTCCCATATTTTTCTTTCCTCTTTCCCCTTCAGATGAGGGGATATGGTGGCCTTTGTCATTGTAACATCCAGTCCTTCAGCTATTACTGTCCTCAATCACTTTAAACAGTGATTCTGAACCAAAGGACACTTCTGCTTAGAAACATGAGATGAACACTCCTGTTTCATCCAACATGCTGTTTCCATAATGGCCTCTCCAGATACCAATCTGTTCACAGAGGTAATACATGGCAATCAGTATCAATAGCCATTAATCACTTCATCTTCGATGATAGGGTTAGGAAATGTGTGATCATTCAGCTGTTATTGAACTGAAAATTCCAGCATTCCTCATCATTGGCTATATTGTCTAGGGCTGCTGGGAGTTGCAGTTCAACAGCATCTGGAGGATCTCACAGTTCCTATCCCTGTTATATGACCTGCTATGGTGAATTGATACAGTTCTGTATGGTAAATTCAGCAAACCCCATGCTTCCTTCTGATGAGTCCAAAGCAGTCCAGTCTGCTGGCAAGACTTGACACCTGATTTGCATTATGCAAGGAGTTCAAATTCTTCAAGCAGATAAATAACATCTACAGTTCTCCACCTCAATAATAGTGCAAGGTCCTTCATTTACCTGGAACAGGGGTAGGCAACTTTTCCCCTTTAAGGGCTGAGGGACTTCAGCTCCCAGAATCCCAGGAGCTATTGGCCAACATGGGACTATTGGCCAACATGGCTGAGGCTTCTGGGAGCTGAAGTCCCTCGGCCCTTAAAGGTGAAAGGTTGCCTACCCCTGACCTGGAATCTGTCCTCAGAGGATACAAAAGATGTTCATACATACTACCAAACAGTGCCAGAATGCAAATCTCTAAGCCAGGGACTTGCCATACGCAGGGAATCATAGATGTGACATGAAGTAAAGGTAAAAAGGTAAAGGTATTCCCAGTTGACAAGGTGGTCAAGTCGTGTCCGACCATAGGGGGCGGTGCTCATCTCCATTACTAAGCCGAAGAGCCAGCATTGTCAGAGACTACTCTGTGATCATGTGGCCAGCATGATTTCACAGAACGCTGTTACCTTCTCACCAAAGTGGTACCTATTAATCTAATTGCATTTGCATGCTTTCGAACTGCTAGGTTGGCAGAAGCTGAGACTAGTGATGGGAGCTCACCTCATCAGGCAGCACCCGGGTCTCAAACTGCCAACCTGTTGATCTTGCAATCAACAGAGTTAGTGTCTTAACCACTTGAGCCACTGCATCTGGGTGACATGAAGTACAAATAGTACATTGGGAAAGGAGATGTGATCATGCAGTAAACACAATCTTTAGGAGAAGCTGGGGGGAAAGCGAAGAGAGGGACTCCTTAACTAGGAAATCCTAGGTCTGTCTCAGTACTTCTGCCTGCTCACTCACCCTCTCTCACTGACTAGCATGGCAGATTGAGCTATTTGGGCCTATAGTCATTGGGGAAGCAGAGTGTGGATGAGTGGCTAAGGGGAGAAAATGGTTGCTGCTTATGTGACTCACCCATGGGTTGCACTGCAAACAGTGAGAGCAAATGCAGGCAGGCAGAAGGGTCTGCTCCTTCCTTCTGTCTAGGGAGCACTTTGTGCCCCATATTCCCTTGCTTGGTGCCAAGAGAGGATGAGCAAGACAGGAGGAGGAGGAGGTGGCAGGAACAGCCATTGCCATCTTTTATTTATTTCATTTCATTTCTATGCTGCCTTTCTCTCAGAAAGGGACCCAAGGCAACTGGCATGTTTCCATGCCCATCCCTAGAAATAGCAGGCTTACAGTCTCTTTTCCTTCAAAATGAAATTAACAATGTTCAGCACCCTTTTTTAACCATGCATTTCATGTCACGCTTTGTTAGGCCTTTCAGGATGATCACTAGAACCATTTTGCCACTTATCAGAGAAAGGTAATTGCCCCACAACAATGAGTCCAGCTACCTGAAACCACTAGGTACCATTCACAATTTGCTTTCAATTGATTTTTATTATTATTTTGCTAACTAAATTTAACCTCCAGCTTTGCTGATACAGATTCTGTCATATTGTTCCCCGCTTCTGCTCTAACCAACTCAGGAATCCATAGGTTTCAAACAAAAAAAGGCAATGGACACTTCTCAGCCAGTGCTCTAGTTGGTGGAAATGGAGAGAAACCATTAACTGTCCATCCCAGAAAGCTAAAACTTTAAGGTCTCTTCTTTTTCCTGGAATCCATGATATCTGTGTCACTACTGGAGAAATGCATGATAGCCAATCCAAAAGGTCGAGTTCTGGAGAGCTCAAAAACTCATACCATTTGTCACACCTGAGCTGTCCTAATAAAAGATACTACTCATCTCTGTTTTTCATTTTTACTTTCGGGAAGAATGACTGCCTTTTTTTTTTTTAAGGCCATTCATTGAAGCACTAGGATGCTGGTGGAAGCAACAGTGGTACTGCGAAAGATCAAAGTATCTGAAATCCAATATTCTGAGGAATGGTACTCCATCTAAGCCCCATGTATGTTTTACTTGGCACACTATGGGCTCCAACATTTCACATGTGAAAAGTAGGATACATAT